AGGGAATGGGATATGAGATTGTAGCTTCCTGGATTGTATGCCGCTGCAGGGGTGCTGGACTAAAGAGTTAAGGGTTTCGGGAGCAGGGAACGGTTTTAGGTCCTAGATCCTGGGAATACACCAATTTCCAGAACATGTTGCAACAACCCGGGCTCTTCGATCGGCTACCCGATGCACCTGCCCGTGTTGGCACTGGTAAGCGCCATACGTGTTACTGTGTTACCGCCACTACTAGTACTAGTACTACTACTACGACGACGACTACTAGGTACTAGTACTAAGTACTACTACTACTACTACTACTACTACTACTGCTACTACTGCTACTACTACTACTACTACTACTACCACTACGACTACGACTAGTACTAGTAGTACTAGGAGTACTAGAACTACTAGTACTACTAGTACTACTAGTACTAGTAGTACTATACTAGTAGTACTAGTAGTACTATACTAGTAGTAGTAGTAGTAGTAGTAGTACTATACTAGTACTACTGGTACTACTAGTACTAGTAGTACAAGTAGTACTAGTACTACTACTAGTACTACTACTAGTACTACTACTCTAGTACTGCTAGTAGTACTAGTACTAGTACTAGCTATATAGGTCTTAATTAATTGATTAAGGGTTTGACAAGGTCTGGGCTGTAAGCCTAATTAGAGATGAGAAAGAACACAGAGTTTCATCGTAGCTCTAAAGGATTATGCTCCTGGGGTTCGGAAGGGCCTCTGTGGACTGTTTTTTTTACTGCTACTGCCAGGCCGACAAGAAAGCAAACGCTGAGATCGTGGACAGCCATGGATTCGAGGAAACCTTGAGTGCTTCCGGAGTGTGCCGTGGCTAGTTTCTGCCAATATCGAGTGGTAGTGCATGCAGGCCCATAAACCTCGCCTAAGCCCTACCTAAACCCTCGACCCCTTAAGCCCTAAAAGTCTCTGCTCGGCAAACCCCACACATCCCAGGCTTCGCCCAAACACATCCGTCCCACTATCTCGAGAGTGGGCCCCATGTGCGATCCCAAAACCCTAAACCCTAAAAACCCTAAACCCTAAACCCTAAAGCCTAAGCCCAAAGCCCTAAACCCCAAAACTTAAACCCTAAACCCTAAAACCCTAAACCCTAAAAGCCCTACAACCCTAAACCCTGAAACCCTAAACCCTAAACCTTAAAGCCTAAGCCCTGAACCCTAAACCCTCAACCGTGGGGCTGCCTTTAGGGGCCTCCTCTAAAAGGATCCTATCTATATCTATCTACCTACCTATATATAATATATATATATAGATATATATATATATACATACCAACAAAAACGCCCCCAACACAACCTAAGCCCTCAAGCCTAAAGGCAGCAGTAGAGGTCAGCCCCTAATAAACCATAGAGCCCTAAATCCTATACCTTGGTCGCAGCCCAGGGCCACCAGAATGAAGAAGGCCATTCTGGATGACATCATGCCTGTGAAGCAGGTGCTATCGGAGAAGAAACGCTTGGTGGCTGCAGGGCTTGGAAAGAAGCTGTCTGAAGCGGATCTACAGCCTCTCGTGGAAGAGACACAGCTAAATTGCATATCACATGTACATGTGCGATAATATGCATGACGTCGGCATGTGTTGCCTATCTGGCCTAAGGCTTTGCAACAGGAGCTGGCGAACTTCAAGGCCGTAGCAGACCCAGTTCGGGCGGCGGAACGAAAGCTGATGGCCCAGAGTAAGCCGAAGGCCAAAGCAAAGGGCAAAAGCAAGAAGTAGCGGATCAGATAGGATTCGCAGTGTGGGGGATGCCTGTGCATTCAAACCTGTATCCGAAAGTGATACGATGTTTTGGCGACGGTTCTGGCTGTGTGAGAACCTTCCCTTGCTATCTTGCATAGGCGGCCCTACTTAGACATGTGCATCTGCATCACAATATAACTACTTTAGCTTCTTGGCTTCTGAACATGATCAGTGAGGGCTTCAGCATGTAGCAAGCAGGAGGGACTGTGCTCGCAGCTACTCGTCTTTAAATTATGATCCTAGACAGCTTTTGGCTCACCGGGCCTCGAGTGACGGCTCGCAGAGATCTGTGTGCCCAGAACCTCACGATCGGTGGTCAGCGCCGCAGCAGAAAACAATCAACTCTTGATCCAGTTCCAATCTCCCGAAATTTATGCATATATACCGACCAGGAAAAAAGCATAAGATGAGCCGGCATAGTGGTGGTAATGATGTGGTGAGATGTCGGGGACATATATAACTATATCCTTAAGCCCTAAGCCTCGAAACCCCTAACCCCTAAACCCTAAAGCTCTAAACCCCTAAACCCCCAAACTCTGAACCCCTAAACCCCTGAAGCCCTAAAGCCTCAAAGCCCTAAAGCCCTAAACCCCTAAACCCTAAATTATATAGCTCATGGTTCAAATCCTTGGGTGAGGGGAAGGGGAGTGCCAAAGGCTCCGCTGTGAATGCTTTGGCTGCTGTGAAGGACGTGTCCGTATTAAGGCTTGTGTATGTGTATCCCGCAACCCTGAATATTGCTACATGTATACCCTTCAAAAGCAGAAGCACTACCCCAACCCAAGTGCAAGCCCTATCGTGCATTTTTGTAGATCAGACAGGAAGCTGGTGCTTCCACAATCGCCAACCAATCGAGACCTGGTATAAGCCATTAGTGGAAGAAGCTTGTACCCAAACTAGCAGAGGGTATACGTAGCTGCACATCTTACAATATGGGATAGAGCACTGCACCCGAAATCCCACGCAGGGAAACGAGATGAAGCGGCTGGATCTGCCGATGGCGAGGGCGAGGGCGAGGACGTATCACTTGCTATGCAGATGCCCGGGTCTTGGGCATATTTCGAATGTTGCAATTGTATAGTCATGCGACTGTCCTGCAGATTTGGCAGATGTACGTACATTCTACACATAGCAATGTGATGTCTATGCTGCTTGAGGTTCAAGAAGCTCGGCGAGGGCAAGGAAAGCGCCAAAGGTCTGGTGCTCGATGCAGCAGCTGCTGTGAAGGACATACTGATAAGCATACTGGGCCCTAGATCGATCAGACTTCGAATTCGAAAATCTGCAATCCTGATCCCTGCAATCCCGTACTGCTGCTGGATCCCTTCATAGTGCTAAAACCATAGCATATATATACACGGCCCTCCAGCAAAACAAGCCCTCAGCCCCTATTCTTACAACGCCCTGAACCCTAAAACCTGAACCTAAAAACCCTCGTGCCCAAACCCCGAACCTTGAAAGCCAGTTGCCCCAATCCAGTGCATGTCACAGTCTACGCACTCCTCTGGGATATGCAGCTGCAGAACCATTATAGCCTTCCCGCAATTCCAACCCCATCAATTCATAAAGGATCTGGGTGTCGAGACTAGAAAGCTTAAGACTTCGGAAGATTGAATTGAGACTATAGTACCCATAAGCCCCCAAAACCCTGAATGCCGGAAAGGAAGCTGGGCCGAAGAATGTCAGCGAAGTGACGAAGCAGCTGGCTCGCCTCAGATCGAAGCGCATGGAGCATGCCGATAGAGATCTGTTTCGGTTTGTGCGGCTGCCCCTCGAGACTCGGTACCTGATAATCTTTATTATAATTATAATATAATGATTATAGTGCCGTAAATAGAAATTACAACTATTAATAGGGTTTAGGGTTTAGGGTGTAAGGTTTAGGGTTTAGGGTGTAAGGTTTAGGGTTTAGGATTTAGGTTCTTCCCCGCGACAAAGGACTTCGCCTGGATAGAAGTGCCCTTACTGGATCCTGAGTCACCGGATTCTGACAAGAGAATTCTTACGAAGCTGCCCTTCCTGGACCCACATGAATATCTGGAATACATTTGGGCAACCCAGAAAGTCCAGATTTCTGATGAAGAGATTCAGATGCCAGGCAGCATGAGATCCTAGCAATCTACTCCCTGAGTTCTATAATTGATTGAAACCTCCATCCCATTTTTGGTTTGGGGTGCTCAGTGCTTGCAAGGAGATATTGGGATCACTTTCGATCCCGAGGGGTCCCTTGGGCCCAGTCGCATGCCGCCCCATCCACGGCCGTGCCGATAACAGCCCTTGGTGCAATTCAGTATCGAGGTTTGCGGTTTTTTTGTGCTGAGGCTTTGGTTATGTACTTTTAAGGTTTAGGGTTTTGGTTTTTAAGTTGTAGCACCTGTTTCTTAGGGTTTAGGGTTTAGGGCTTATCATCTTAGGAGTTTTAACATCTATATATATATATATACCCCTAAACCTTAAACCCTACACCCTAAACCATTATTGTACCAGCTATAGTATTACAAGTGCCTCGTCGTGGGCTCCAAAGGGGCATCTTGGTTCTAGTTACGGGAGATTCACCTATGCAGGGTGGCCAAAAGTTAAAGCCAAACTCTCAACCCTAATCCAAGAACTCCAAACCCTAAACCCTAATCCAAGAACCCCAAACCCTAAACCCTAATCCAAGAACCCCAAACCCTAAACCCACAACCCCGAACCCTACACCGAAAACGTGCGGGCATTCGGGTCCCATTACTTCCTAATTATCTCTCGACCAGAGACTTCGGAAAACATTTGGCACATCACCATCAACATCATCATCATCATTCCGAAGCTACAAGGTGTACGGAGACGAAGCGCAGTTCTCGAAACAGAACGACAAGTTCACTGCTCTTATGTTCTCATTCACGCTCCATCGCCAGAAAGGCCTGCTGGCAATGAAATAGCCAGAATTGCGATTCGTTTATCTAGACCCAAAACCCTAAACTAAACCCTATATGGCTACCTAGAATTATAATAAAAGTCGAAGAAATTATATCTATTTCTGTATTTCTTGACTGGCCAGGAGACCCATGGTCCAAAAACTTCGTCTACTTCATCTTGAACTCGTACCTCAGTGCCGGTGAGGACAGTTTCGATTTTGCAAATCATGGGAAATGGAAAGGAATAGGCTTTATGCTTGGGGGTTTCAATACTATAATATAGGGGGCCTTATGACCCTAAACCGTAAGGCCTACCTAGCGCCTACCAGGAGTCGCTACGCCCTGCCTACCACCGAGCTGCATGGTCTTTTACTGTTGCCTTGGCAGCCCGTCGACCCCTCTATGGACCTTCTGGTACTTCTTCGGATCTTACGAAAAGAGAGATCTCGAATGCCAAGAAATCCCCACAGCTGAGCAAATGCTTTGCAGTGGTGGAATACAGAGGCGACTGGAAGTATCACTTAGAGACTTGGTCATTGCAGCGGCATTGGAAGCGACCCAAGATTTGCATTAAATGCAACGCAGCTCGACTTTCCAGCGCTGGTCCTGTCTACACCAACTTTGGGTTCTCTTGGAGGAGGTACAGCTTCAATGACATCGTTTGCAATGGCATGGGTGCAAACCCGTCTCCGCTGATCCTCATTCCTGGGTTCCATAGCGATATCATTCGCTTTTGCTCGATGCACACGCTTAATTTGGGCATTCTTCAGACCATGGTCGCCGAATGCATCTTGTGGTTGTGCGAAAACGATGTATATGCTGGTGACACTCTGGATGTTCAGTTGCAGAACTCTTACAACGACTTCAAAGCCTGGTGTCGTCGAGAACGAGTAAACTGCTCCCAGAGGCGTTTCAAGCAGTCATCGTTCCACTTGAAAGCGGATGACTATCCCTGGATGAACTGCAAGGCATACAACTGCCGATGCATGTTGGGGTGGCTGCACGATGCTTGACAAGATTTCAGAAGCCCAAGAGTGGGAAACCAAATAGCCTCAATCCTCTAAGAGTACTGCCACATTTTATTAGTCGGGTTGTTTTCAAGTCTTGGGGGCTTGCTCTTTTGTGAGGAAATCTACCCATGCCAGGAATGCTACACTTCCGATGCTACCCAAGCTGTGCTTCGTCGTCGCCGAGCTGCCGAGGACGCAGCTCTCTACCAAGAGCGCTCTGAGCTGTCCATCCTCATCACGACATGTGTGCTGCGTGGTTTGCAAGTATCCATCCGATTAGAATCTAGGCACCTGCCAAGTTAAGTTTGTTTTTTGTTTTCGGGCTATGAGGCTCTCGATTCTTTTCCCTAAACCCACCTAAAGCCCCCCACCCACAAGTCCCTAGGATACACATATACATATACCCTAGGGCTCCAGTTACCTTAACAGTAGGTTATTGGGGTACATAATATAGGAGTAACCCACTATTTAGGTAACTGGAGCCGTAGGGTATATCTACATAATTTTAGCTAGTGTCTCAGGCTCAGGAGATTCCGAAACAAATAGCATGACATACCCAAACCCTCTCCATATATCTATAAACAACCCAGATCCATCGAAGTCGCGACCACAAGCCCCTGAAGGTGTTTGTGTCGTCAAAAGACCCATCATAAATTTACTTGATATGTATCTTTGTGGTTGATACGAGGCACGAGATCGCGAGCTGGCAATCGCGAACAGAAACGCTGGGCCGATTCTTGAATCAAGGAGATGCGGATGCCTTGTATGACCAAGGCTTGTCTCCCCAACACCGTAAATTTTAAACCCTAAACCCTAGACACTAAACCCTAAACCGTCATAATCGACTCATATCTGCATATCCTGCATAATTCTACAAGTCTGGCAGGCATTCGCTTCCTGAAGCTCTACAAGATCATTTCTGCCAGATTCGGGAGACAGCAGAAGCTGCGATGGATGTTAAGACCGAAGCTTCATGCAACTCGGCTAGCCACGTCTCCTACTCGAAGCATACTCGACCCGCAGATATAGATAGATATATAGGGTTTAGGGTTTAGGGTTTAGCTAGGTTAGGGTTTAGGGTTAAGGGTTTAGGGAATACCATGCCCAGGTCTACGAAGAAATGCTGATCGATACAAAATCCGAATGTGCCTTGCTCGCAATTCGCCTCTTCGCAATTCGTTTTAAGGTTTAGGGTTTAGGTTTAGGGGTTTTGCAATTTGCAATACCCTGACGATTGAAATGTAGAGCTGGGCTGCTCGCACCCTGAGGCCAGAACCCGAGAATGTACCACACTTATTCTCAAGAAGATACCATGGGTATCTTAAAACCGCTATGTCAGCAATGCAATTCTGGTGCCCACCGCTGGGAATACAGAGTGCTGAAGCGCACTCTCGTCAGGACTCGGGTGTCGTGATTATTAGATCGTATGGGAATTCTATCCCTGATGATAAACCCTGGGCCCAATATCTTCAAACCCCTGAAGGATCATGGCCGGCAGTGCTGCCGAGATTCGATCCCAGAGCAGTGGTGGATGAAAACGAGGGCGACATTCGAAGGCTTAAGGTTTAGAGGGTCTTTCAGACTTTAAGGCCTTGGGTTCGGGAGTTTAGGGTTACCTAGGGCTCCAGTTACCCAAAATGAAAAAACTAAACAACTTACTGGGGTATTAGTAACCCACAATTTAGATAACTGGAGCCCTGGGGTTAGGGTGTTTTAAGACCTAGGGGTTCAAGGTTTAGAGGTTTAGGGGCTTGGGGAGTTCAAGCTTTAGGGTTAAGGTGTTTTCAGGCGCAAGGGGGTTCAAGGTTTACAGGTTTAGGGGTTTAAAGCTTAAGGGTTAAGGTTTAGAGCTTTGGGGGGTTGGTGAGTTTGAGGCCTAGGGGTTCGAGGGTTTAGGGTTAGGGTGTTCTAAGTCCTAGGTTTCGAAGCTTGTAGCGGCAACAGGGCAAGAGGACCCTCAACCCAAAGCGCTAAAACCCTAAACTGGCAAGCTGATCCCAAAGCCCGACCTCGAGCGCACACTCAACCCAAAGTGCTAAACCCTATAAACCCTAAACCCTTAACCCTGCACCCTAAACCCTTAAGGATTCCATGGCCAAAGCCCGAGTGCGACCGCACCCTCAACCCAAAGCACTTAAAACCAAGGATCCCAAAGCCCGACTTGGACCGCACCCTCAACCCAAAGCTTAAAACCCAAGGACCCCAAAGCCCGACTTCGACCGCACCCTCAACCCAAAGCTTAAAACCCAAGGATCCCAAAGCCCGACTTCGACCGCACCCTCAACCCAAAGCACTAAAACCCTAAACAACGGGCCGAGGACAGTACCAGCGGTACCTTTTTCTGTCTTCTGTGTGATTTATAATGATCTGATGATACCGATGATGACGATGTCGATCCAAACCTATAATGTTAACTATGTATATCAAGCTGATGTTGCATTTTATGGTTCCCAGAATTTGTTGGTAACCCAAAAAACAAGTCACCAGGCTCAAGGGCCGATTTAAGACGAACCATTCCCCAGTAACCTACCTCACGAGCCCCTGGGGCGGCTTGGGTATGATAGACAGACAGATGAATGTATGGACGTGTGGACGCACACCCGATGTACACATTGAAAAATATACTTGACGCAAGTGTACATGAAACCATAGACAACCTCTGACGCAGTGTCGCCTGCGGCGATGAAAGCCGCGACCGAAATAACGTACGGGCTCTTTTGGGATCGCAGCACGGCAAAGACATTGATCCCATAAACGTGATACCACGGTCAGATCGCCGAGCTCCGTGCAGCCAGCCCGGGCTTGGACTCATGCATCTCGGAGGTGCTAAACGTGCGCCAGGACTGGCGAAAGAGTAGCTGTGAGGTGAAAAGCTCATTATCCGATTTCAGGCAAGGCCTATGTGGGGAGAAGTGACGGTTCGGTTCAGGGGAATTCCGAGCTTCGGTTGCATACGGGTGCAAGAGCTGCTTTTAGATCCGAGTTTCATTCAAGAAGCGCATCAGGTTAAGAGCCTCGACAATGGTCGAAAGAGATTCTCTGCTTAAGTCAAAAAATCTTCCACAAAGCTCGTATCTTGGTGTATACAGCAAGCTGGCAGACATGTACGTGTGCAAACAGATGCGTCTCGGGTGGCCCTGTACTGTTTGGCTGTGTCCGGTGGCTAATTCTGTTTTCCTAGCCTCCGCGAAACCCTGGATTTCGAAGCGCGTTCAACCTGCAATTCCAACTGTGGCGACAGCACGTCGGCATGAAGCGGCCGAGTCCCATCGGATGGTAGCCGAACAACGGGAGGCTCCTAAAAGGCGAGTCGCTTGCATGGCCGTAAACGATCATTTCATGCGAGAAATGTTTCTCTACACCAGGTGAGTGAGTCAGCGAGAGGGACGGGAGCGAGCAAGCTCGTGATGCAGTGAGCAAATGAGCCAGGAGAAAGGGAGGGAAGAAAGGGAGGGAGAGAGGGAGGGAGGGAGGGAGGGAGGGAGGGAGGGAGGGGAGGGAGGGAGGTGCCTATCTGTCTGCTTGGCTAATGGCGTATCTATATATATGTATATATATATATGTATATATATATATGCGTATAGATTCATATCTCTCTCCATACAGATATAGATATAGATATAGACATACGTATATATATATATACACAGACGTATGTGCAGACATGTCTGTATGTATGTCTGCTAAAGTATGTATGCATGGATGCATGCATGTCTATGTGCTTGCCGCTCTGCCTGCCTCTGCCTGTGCGTGTCACTCTGCATGTACATGTTCATGTATGTATTTATGATGGATGCATGCATACATTTGTGTATGTGGGTATGCATGTATTTATGTATGTATGTATGTATGTAGGTAGGTAGGTAGGTAGGTAGGTAGGTAGGTAGGATGTAGGTAGGTAGGTAGGTAGGTAGGTAGGTAGGTAGGTAGGTAGGTCGGTAGGTCGGTCGGTCGGTAGGTCGGTAGGAAGAGAGGGGGGTAGGTAGGTAGGTAGGTAGGTAGGTAGGTAGGTAGGTAGGTAGGTAGGCAGGGAGGCAGGTCGGTCGGTCGGTCGGTCGGTCGGTCGGTCGGTAGGTAGGTAGGTAGGTAGGTGGGTAGGTAGGTAGGTAGGTAGGTAGGTAGGTAGGTAGGTAGGTTGGTTGGTTGGTTGGTTGGTGGTGGGTAGGTAGGT